GGCAGACAGAGGGAGACTCTGTCTCAAAAAACAAACAAACAAAAAAATTAGTGGGGAAGAACACACTTGTGATGTATAATATATCTAGTGAAATAGTGTTTGTGTTAAATGAGCAGAGATACTCAGCTGCCATTCTAAAACCTTTATCCTTAGGGAATTTGGGTGACAACACCAGGTTAAAATAGCATTTATATATGCATTATCAAGCTACTAAAATGTATGTAGACTAGAGCAACTTTTTCTTCAGTATATTTATTTTGATACTCAATTTATTATTTAACAGACCTTAAATATTTACTAAGTATTAAAAGACTTCCACACTTCATTGTGTTTCTAAAAGTTTGACTCTATAATATTCACCCTCTTGCAGATTTAATAATGTAAATTTAAGGAACATCACGTAATCCTCAAGAATTAACCCTTTCATTAAAATATGGTTACTAATATTAGAGGCATGTATCAACTAAAAACCCTCATTTGCATTACATTGACTTTATACCATTACTTTCAATTTTGTTGGTTGTTTTTACTGATGTTATTAGGATGGGGAAGATTTTTAACTACATTACAATAAAAACTAATGATATGCTTTCATACTTGAGGTATAACCATTTATATTACTTTTCCTTTCAATTTATTGCTCTGCATATTCTTAATTATTTGCACATATTTGCTCTGTATGTATGTAGAATTTCATCATTTTCAATTTGAAAATGAAAAGATCTTTCTGATGAAGTTAAGAGTAATGATCTTTGTAAACATTCGTTTGTCAAAATCAGTTTTTTATAGATGACTTTGTACTTCTTAATGAAGGTGGCCTATGAACATACCATATATGAATGTTTGCTAAAGCTCTATCTAGAAATTATTTTCAAAATGGTTGGTAAGTTAATGGTGATAGCAATTTGTTTCACGCTTTGTATGAACTATATTTTGCCTAGAATTTTCTTAAAGATTTCAACAATACAATTCATACCATTTCTTCTTCACCTTTCATTAAATATCCATGAAATAATAGTATTTACTATTTTATGAAACCTATAAAGAAGTAAGAACTACTTATGTGAAGGAAACTAACATTTAAAGAATAAAAGATTAAATACATTTTAAGTAGATCAATAAAAATTCTAATACATAGCACTCTAAAATGTAGTGATTAAGGTAATATATTAAAAATATTAAATGGCTTTTAGAATAGGATGATACATTAGAAATCTGGTCTGGTGTTTCCTAAAGTGTAGTCTATGGAATGGAATATTAGTCCTGTGATATGCTCCATGGGGGGCAGTGGGGAGCTAAGGACTTTGGTCATATAGTTGCATGAAATGCTGTATATAATATCTCTGTGTCACAGATTTAATGTATATCTCTGTGTGTGTGTGTGTGTGTGTGTGTGTTAGCTTATTCAAGATTCCATGAAGGTATCTAATTATTTTAGTTCATTTTTCAAACTGTGGAATGATTTTGTTCTTTGAAACAAATGTCTTTCACAACTCTTCCCCAGCAGCACCTGGTTAATATTAATCCAATATGCAAGGACATTGTGACCCAAGGGTACCCAGTGCCTCCACTTGGATATTACGGACATTAAGACAAAAAAAAAAAAAGATAAACTCATTTTCCAGGGTTGAACAACTAGCTTGTAGCTACTAATAGAGCTGGAACTAAAGCCCAGGTCTGCTGACTGCCTAAGGGCTTCTCTGAGGCCACGGGCAAGTGACCATAACAGGACAATACCAGTGGCCAGGGGATGTGTTGCAGCAGGGTTTTGAAATGTCTTGAAATGTTTTTACCAAGAACTAATTAGTTCAGAATGCTGAATAAAGATCAGATAAAGTAGTCAGTGCTCTAAAGCCAGACTGTACAGAATGAAAATTGGGTTCTGTTTGCTACCAGCTGCCGGATCTTCAGTGTCTTACTTAACTTCTCTGTATCTTACTGTTCTTATCTGTAAAATGGACATTGTAGTAGCTCCTATCTCATAAGGTTTGTTGTGATCATTAAATGAATGAATACATTTAAACTTGAACACATCTGGCACACAATAAACATTGAATAAATATTTTATGTATCATTTAATATTTACTCATTTATTATTTACAGCAAACATAGTATCCTATCATCAAGGCAGTCTAATTTGGGATGGTGGTTTTAAGAATGGGAGAAGTGCATTGTACATACTGCTTCAAAAATTCTCTGAGTACCAAATGGGCCCTGTGGCTATTCATTGCTTGAATCACAATTTAGCTGTATTGAATAGAGTCATTCAATAACAGCACCTTCAAACATCTAAATATAGTTAAAGGTATACATATATTCTACATGAGCACTTAAATTATAAAGGTCAGTAAAATAATAAGAGATACAATTAGAAAAAATGAGCATGATGACATTCTTAATTATTTAATGAAATATACTATTTTAGTGTAAAAGCAAAATATCATCTCCAGGACTTTCTTTGGGGGAAGTTAAAATTATGTAAATCAAACTGTCTGTTTTTATATCTTTTACTCCCAGAGAACTGTGAGTTAAGGGCAGAGATTATGCCTTGTTTAGCTCTGTATATTTAGTAAGCAACACAGGGTTTGATGGGCAGTAGATATTCAGTAAGTACTAAAAGAGATAATAAAACAATCATGCTTTTGGATACTTTGCTTCCAATTTAGACATACTGTGATAATTAACTTGAAACGCATGTACTAGAACTAGTATTATGAATATCTATATCTATATCTGTATTATGCCTTTTCTTCTGAAAAAGCTTTATAAGTAGCAATAAGAGTAATAGCCACTGTGATTGATCCCTATGATCCTGGCCCTAATCTAAATGCTATTTGCATACCATCTCATTTAATCCTTATGGTAGCCTAGAAGTAGGTTTTATCAAATGGCTGTTAGAATTGGAACCTGTGTCTGTTTGCCTTAAATAACTATCTTTTATAGCCAGTATCCACCTTGCATAACAATAGTTTGCATTATCTTTTCCCTAGTGTTACATTTAAGGATATTTTGCTATAGTAATATATTTTAAATTATACAGTCAGAATATTGGGACATTTTTTCCAAATTCTAGCTTGCAGATTTATCACTTTTAAATAAACGTGCAGCATCTGTTTCCTTCCAAAACTGGAAGTATTTTTGTGGTTATGTATTTTATAGCTGATACTATAACATCCAGATTTTCATTCATAGTCAAAATACTTGGGACAGTGGATATAGTAGTTAGCCATGTTAGACACTTCATAGTGCATATGCTCTTTTTTCTTGGACTACGGGATATGCATATTATTCTGAGACACAGAAGTCTTCACAGCTGTTTTTCATTTATAGGGGAAAAAGAGCTTTTATAAATACCTTTGAGGTGTATTTACCTTATAATTTGGCTTAGAAAAGCATCCATATTTAAACTCACAGGATCAAGCATAACTCCAAAATCATAATTACAGGTGTGCTTTTTTTTTCCCCCATGATAGATGTATTTTAAAACATTGCATGTAAATGAATATTTATAAATTCAACTGTAAATTCACAGCTCCTATTTTAAAGTGAGAAATACTGCATTGCTAACAGACCTGCTTGAATTTGCCAATCAGCTGACCATCCCTGTCTTAACTTACTGTCAACCTCGCTGGGGCTACCTCCACTCTTGCCAAAACATGCTACTACCAGAGCCAAAGTCATCACTATAGGTTCAGATGACAAACCTGTAAATATTTGAGACTGCACAGCCATAACAGTAGTACAGATGCTGGACTATGTATTTATGCTCATGCTGACCCTACAGTGTCAGCAGCTCTAAAGACGCTTTTGGCTCTAGTTCTGGTAGTAGTCCATTTGGCACAAGAGGCATTGACAGCAGTCATGTTATATGTTGTGGTGAAGCAGCTTTGACTGACAGAGTGAGGACTCTGGTAGTGATACTTCTAACAAACTGTAAGCTCCACAAGGTCAGGGCCTTTGTTCTCTTCCCTATATCTGCTTCTGTAGCCAACAAAGCAAGGAGTAGATACTGAACGTTTATTTATTAAACAAATGAGGGAAGTAGCACACCCTGGAGCAATTGCTGCTTTGACTTAGGCAGTGGCCAACAAGAAGGTGATCTAGGGTTTAGCAGCAGTTTTCTTTGCACAGGTAGCCCAGATCCAGAGTGAGGTATGTCTCTAATTAAGTACCAGGCAGAGGCATTGGCCATGAAAGACACTCCTACTGCAGTGGCAACCTCTATAATGGCTACAAGGAGAGAATATGAATTAGCGAATGGGATGGCACCTTGATGGTGAATCATCAGTGAGCCCATGCAGAGCCCATCCAGAGTGCCTCACATTCTCCGGTCCTGGAAAACTGAGGACCAGGTTGCGACTCATGACCTCTTCTAGGACTGTTTATATGATTCTAGATGGATCTGTCTCTATGGATTCTGGTAATGCTAAACTTTAAAAATAATAATCATATTTGGAGTTGGAAATATACTACTGTGGCTGAAAGATTAGGTGAACTATCAGAAAAGAATAGGTAAAACTTACATATTTTTATGGAATATTGTAGTCATGTAAATTGTGGATTATGACACAGAATGAAGTGAATTTCTTGCTGAATCATCCATAACAGCAGTTCCAAAGTCTAACATGTGTTCAGAACACTTGAGATCTTGTTAAAGTGCAGACTGTGAATCATTAATCCAGGGTGGGGCCTGAGATTCTGTTTCATATCAGCTCTAGGTTATGTGGATGCTGCTGATCCATGGATCAGTCTCAGTAGCAAGGTTTAAGATACTCAAATTTTGAGAATCTTTAAGATGCCTGGGTCTCAATCCTGCAGATTCTGATTTATTTGGTAAGGGACGTGGTGTGAACATGAGGATTTGTTAAAGCACTCTAAGAGATCCCAAGATTCCTACATACAGTGCAATTGGAGAATTGATACTCTGTGACTGATTTCAACTTACTTTTGAGAAGAAATATTCATTTTAAACAACTAATCCTACATTTTTTTACATGCAGGTTGCAACAATCTACAAAGATCCAAGTATTGGAAGTTTTATACACATAGTAGTGGTAAAATTAGTTATGATTCACCACGAGGAGGTAAGAAACAGGTCTAAAATTAGTAACCTTAGTTGTAGTAAGTTTTTAGTGACAATACATAGAGATTATGAAACTCTTATTAGAAATGAAATGTTTTTAAAGTTTGCTTTAAAGACTTGATTTGAAAACGAATGAGATTACCCTTATGTGTTGTGATGGAAATAAAATAGAATGACAACAGTGTTTAACTGAGCAAAGGAAAAATGAATAAACAAGTCAAAAATAAAAGATTAAAAACCTTAGTATTCATTTTTATAATCCTAATGTCAGAGGATTTAAAATATAGTAGTTTTTAAAAGTTTTTCCTAAATATTGGATGGTTATATTAAGAAGATCGAATTAGATTCAGTTTTGATCACGTTTTAGATATTGCTAAAATATGTTGTAGTTAATATATGAAGAAGAGATGCTGTCACTCCTTCATTTCCCTGTGAGAATGCTATTTGATAAATTGTGCAGATGCTGATAAACTTGGAAGGAAAAGAGGACATTAATATTTTGATACAGTATTGCATTGCTTATTTTGCATAGGAAGGGCCAGTCATTAATTTTGATGGTGCTACCACATTAAATAACTTTTGTTCATGGCAACAAACTCAGAATGACGTTGATGATGTTCACCCTTCCCACCATGACGCTGCTATTCTTATCACTAGGTATGATTATAGAAATAATCTTTCCCATACAATCCTTTATTCTTCCTTCCTGCATGACTGATACTTCTTCTTAATTCTTTGTTAATAATACACAGAAGTGTTCTACGAGAATTTGTACTACAAAAGAAACTATCGAATAAAAGCATTCTTTTGTTCTTTCAAACCAGAATACTAGTTAGTTCTCTAGGAAATTAGCAATGTCAGGTTGCTGAGTAATGGTTTGATCTAAACAAAACAATTTCCTAACGATATTAGTGACAGAATGAGAGAATTAAGAAATTAACATAGTTATGGAACTGAGAGCAGGTTTTGTTCATTCCCTTCTTGGTATTTCAGTTGCTTGGAAAGAAGAACAACTTTCTTCTTTCGTTTGTCCACTTTTTGGACTCCCTTTGCTTTTAAAAATCTATTTATCTGTTCCTTGTTTTGATGCTTAATGCCTGCCTTAATTGCCAAGCTACGTTTGCTAGGGTTGTTCTCAAACCTACTTATTTGTATGAAAAATGGCTTCTGCTATTATAAAATTATTATTCATTTTACAAGCAATACTATACATTGTTAATTCACACCTTTGTTTCAGCGACAGTGATACTACCAGAATATATAAATCCTAGGTTTGATATTTGTTTGACTAACCAAAGAAATCCTTTATTTAGGCATCAAACTCAAAGAAATCTCAGCTGTCTGGAATTCTAAAACGAAAAGCTTTAGCCTATATAAAATAGCTAACATGTAGTTCATGTACAGTTATGTGTTGCTTAATGATGGGGACACATTCCAAGAAATGCATCATTAGGTGATTTAGTCTTTATGCAAACATAATAGAGTGTACTTATGCAAACCTAGATGGTGTAGCCTATTAGACACCTAGGCAATATGGTATAGCCTAGTGGTCCTAGGCTACAAACCTGTACAGCATGTTACTGTACTGAATACTATAGGAATTTGTAACACAATGGTAAGCATTTGTGTATCTAAACCTATCTAAACATAGAAAAGGTACAGTGTAAATATGGTATTATGATCTTATAGGACCGATGTCATATATGCAGTCTATTGTTGACTGAAACATGTTATGCAGTGCATGACTGTACTTTAATCTCTTTTCAAAACCAAAGCAGAATTGATTTAATTTTATATATAGTATTATATTATATATAGTCCATGGTTCTTCCTTGGACTGTAGTTAGAAGCCAAGCAAGAGAGATTGGAGATAGCAGATTAAATATGGGAGGAAGAAAGGGCTATGAGAAAGCGGTGATTAGAAAGGAGACACAAGGACTGTCAAATTGAATGGCCGTGGACTAAGTAACGCAGAAGCAAAAAAAAAATTAAGCAACTTGGTAACATCTGAGAACACCATTATTTTGCATGAAAGAATGATAACTGAAGCTCATGATGACATTGAATCGTCATGAGGGTAAATTATATTACATATACTGTGTAAGTAAAAGCAGAGACATTAAAAATAGAAAGTTTTTCACTGAACTTGGTTAATGATTCAACTATTTACAACACTCACTATATAGTACGTATTGCTTACTGATGTGGACAAATGGTGTATTACTCTAGGTTTAGACTTTTTGAGAGGTTAATATGAACTAGATTTTAGAAGTTAGCTTGTGGTAGTAGTCATATCATAGTTAAAGCTTCTTTGTTTTTATTTTGGCTTGTTGTAAAAATATTTTCCAAAAATGCTTCAAAATAAATCTTTTATTTTAAGGGAAGACATTTGTTCATCTAAAGAGAAATGTAACATATTAGGTAAGTTATTTTGTCAATTAAGTTTAGCTTATGTAATTGTTTATTGAATTATTTAAAATAATGTTTAGGCTTTTTTCCATTTTTCATTTTAGTGATTTTGATTAAAATTATCTTGATAAATTATTACACTTGTCACTTATTTCATTCTGCTGCTGTAAATTTTACAAAATAATAAGAACTAACATTTATTTGCAAATTACTAAATATCAAATGCTGTGCATGAGAAATAATACATAATCACCTATATGCCAGTTTAAAGGGAAATAAAAAAATGAATAGCCATGAATTCACCATTAGATCTAAGTTAGAACTTTGCCACTAGTATTGCGTGGTCTATGCTCAGTCATTTTCCATCTCTCTGCTTTTCCCCATGAGGTAGCCAATAGCATGAATTTTGTGTTTACCAATTCCTTCTGTCTCTTGAAAAATAGTTTTATTACATACATACATGTTCCTAAACAAAAAGCATTTGCTTTTATTACATATATATGTGTTCCTAAGCAAAAATTACTTTGCTTATTTTTGAATTCTGTAGTCAAAGTTCATGCATTTTCACTGTTATATAATATTTCATCTACAGTTTATATATCTATATCATATTAGTGTGTATTTGGGCTGATTCTACTTTCTTGTGTCATGAACTTCACTGGAAGAGCTAGGGTATATCCCTAGGATTAAGATGCCTGTGCCATTAAGTGAGCTAATATTCACATTTATAAGATATGACAAATTATTTTCTAAAGTGGTTATACCAATTTATACATTTATCAATAAACATTCCTTTTGATTATATCTTTATAAATACTGGGTATCTTCAGATTTCTCATCTTTTTTAGTCTAAAAGTAATATATTTTATTACCATTAGAATTTTCATTTCACTGATTGCTAATGAATTCAAGCATCTTTTCATATATTTGTATTTCTTTTTCTGTAAGGAATGAAATAAATGAAAGAAACATTGCCTATATTTGTGGTGTGGTATTTGTTGCTTTCTTAACTGCTTTTCAGGTATTCTTTATAACTTCCTGATACCAAACCCTTTTTGGTTTATACATATTACAAATACCTTTTAGCAGTTTGTTGCTTTGTTTTCATTCTTTTATGTGTGAAAATATAAAATGTAGCTGAATTTATAAACCTACTCTTTTAGCGTTAGCTTTTTTGTTTCTTCGTTAAGAAACCATTGTGTAACTCAAGGTCTAAACATACCCTGTTTTCTTGTAAATATTTAAAAATTTGTCCTTTAACATTTAAATCTCTAATCCATCGGGGTAATTTTTTTTGATATCGTATTAGGTAGAGATTTAGTTTTATTCCTTTTAAAAATTCAAATAAATATCCTTTATTAAAGAAAAAAAGGAATATTGTTAATCACCAAAACTGTATGCTGTTACTTTGCATGTACAATAAGTGAAAGGTGATTGCAGTACTTGGTGTACTGGTACTTAGCTCTGAAGTTATGTATAACAAATAGGAAACACAAAGCAATACAATATAGTAATTACAATGTGGAAAAGTTGCACTAAAGAGCCAAAGGCAACAGTCAAAACAATTATTGGAGATTTCATAGTATCGCTATAAATGCTTGTTTAGTTTTTTTCTTTATACTTTTAATACATTAGAATGTTAAGTATATTTAAGTATTGTAAATTTGCAAGAGTTGGCACTTCCAATACACTATGCACATTGTTTATTTAACGTAATGGTGTTAAAGCAATCCTTATAAGCCAAGCACAATGTGCTGCTATTTTGCTTCTACCTTTATAATATTGTACAAAGCTAGTAAATGGTGAATGCCAATAAAATTTTCATTTACCTGGAAATGCTACAAAACATGTCAGTCTCCTTAGCTCTAATGGGTATTATTCATGCAAAATGATGTGTAGTCTTGAAGTTTTCCTAAACTCATTATTTCACACTTGGCAAGATATGCAATACAGTGAGAAATTCAACAAGGCGGTGGAAATTCTATCAAAGAAGTTCGAACTCACTGTGTGGGTTGCATCATCTACTCCCACAGATAAAGGGAAATGCCACATGTGATTATGGAGACTTCTTAAAACCAATATGATTAGTATTTGGAAAAGCTGGAATAACTTGTTATATCCCTTGATGGTTAACCATATAACACATAGGCTAAAAAAAAGCCAAAAATTTTCCTTGTTAAACCTGAACTCTATAACCACATTCATACCTTTTGTTTTCATCTAAACATTACTTTTTAACATCTTTCCTTCCCTCTCTCAACTCCCCAAATTAAACCACTCTTAAAAATCAGTTGTACCTGATTCAAAAAACAACACAGAAACAAAAAAACCCTTCTTCTAACCCTCAAAATAAACAATTGCTTTGAAGTTCACTGTGAAATTACATTCATAATCTTTTTCTATTTGAATAACCAGTTTTCCAAACTATACATTGAATAATTCCTCTCTTTTTCTGAGAATCTGCAATGTCATATATAAAATTTCAGTATGCACTTGAGTCCGCAACATCATGCCACAATTTTATGGGACCATACTTGCTATTTATCCATGCATCAGTTCCGTAATATTTTCATTTTTATAGTTCTATAATAAATATTAATCAGTGGGGTATATACCACCAGCTTATTTTCTTCAAGAATATTTTGGCTATTTTTGGACTTTTGTTCATCTATGGAAGTTTTAGAATCAACATGTTAAGTTCTCAAAACATTTATCTGTCTGTTTAAGTAAGACTTTTAAATGTCATTCAATAATTATTTTCTGTCGATGTGTCATGTACAACTTTTGCTAGACTTTAATTTTTTAATTTGTTAATTTTTTTATTTCAATAGCTTCAGAGGTGCAAGTGGTTTTTGGTTACATGGATTAATTATATCATGGTGAAGTCTTAAGATTTTAGTGCACCCATCACTTGAGTAGTGTACATTGTACCTAATAGGCAGTTTTTCACTCAGTTTTTCACTCCTCACCCCCCTCCCACCCTCACACCCTTCCCTCTTCTGAGCTTCCAGTGTCCATTGTACCACTCTGTATACCTTTACATACCCATAGCTTAGCTTCCACTTATACATGAGAACATGCAATATTTGGTTTTTGATTCTTGAGTAACTTCACTTAGAATAATGCCTCCAGTTCCATCCAAATTGCTACAAAAGACAGTATTTCATTCTTTTTGTTTGTGTCTGAGTAGTAATCCATGGTGTACACATACCACATTTTCTTGCCCACTCATCAGTTGATGGATAATTAGGTATTTTTGCAGTCCTGAATTGTGCTGAGGTAGCATATGTGTGCAGGTGTCTTTTTGAAATAGTGACTTCTGTTCCTTTGGGTATATACCCAGTAGTGGGATTATTGGATCAAATGGTAGATCTATTTTTAGTTATTTGAGAAATCTCTATACTATTTTCCACAGAGGTTATACTAATTTATATTCTTATCACAGTGTACTAGCATTTCTTTTTTACCACATCTATGCCAATATCTGTTGTTGTTTGACTTTATAAATAATGGCCTTTCTGGTTGGGGTAAGATCGTATCTCATTGCAGTTTTAATTTGCATTTTCCTGATGATCAGTAAAGTTGAGCATTTTTTCATATGTTTGTTGGCCAATTGTATATCTGCTTTGAGAAATATCTGCTCATGTCCTTTGCTCACTTTTTAATGGGATTATTTGTTTTCTTGCCGATTTGCTTGAGTTTCTTGTAGATTCTGGATATTAGTCCTTTGTCACATGCATTGTTTGCAAATATTTTCTCCCACTCTGCATTGTCTTTTCACTCTGATGATTATTTCTTTTGCTTTGCAGAAGCTTTTTAATTTAATCAGGTTCCACTTATTTATTTTTGTTTTTGTTGCATTTGCTTTTGGGTTCTTAGTCATAAATCTTTGCCTAGGCCAATGTCCAGAAGAGTTTTTCCTTGGTTTTCTTCTTGAATTTTTATGGGTTCAAATCTTAGATTTAAGTATTTAATCCATCTTGAGTTGATTTTTGTATAAAGTGAAAGATAGGGATCCAGTTTCATTCTTCTACATGTGGCTATCCAACTTTCCCACCATCATTTATTAAATAGGGTATTCTTTCTCCAACTTATGTCTTTGTATGCTTTGTCAAAAATCAGTTAGTTGTAAGTATTTGGCTTTATTTGTGGGTTTTCTATTCTGTTCCATTGGTCTATGTGTCTGCTTTTATACCAGTACCACACCATTTTGGTTACTATACCCTTGTAGTATAGCTTGAAGTTGTGTATGTGTTGCTTCCAGGTTTATTCTTTTTGCTTAGGATTGCCTTAGCTGTTGGGCTCCTGTTTGGTTCTATATGAATTTTATAATTGTTGTTTTATAATTCTTTGAAAACTGATATTGATATTTTGATAGAAATACATTGAATCTGTAGATTTCTTGGCAATATGGTCATTTTCAATGATACTGATTTTTCCAGTCCATGAGCATGGGATGTATCTGTTTGTTTCATTTATTATTCATCTATATTTTCTTTCAGCAGTGTTTTATAGTTCTCCTTGTTGCGATTTTCCACCTCCTTGGTTAAGTGTATTCCTAGGTATTTTATTTTATTTTTTGCAACTGTTGTAAAGGGTTTGAGTTCTTGATTTGATTCTCTGCTTGGTTGTTTTTGGTGTATAGCAGTGATACTGATTTGTATATGCTGATTTGGAAACCTAAGACTTTACTGATTTATCAGATCTAGGAGTCTTTTGAAGGAGTCTGTAAGATGGTCTAGGTATACCATCATATAATCAGTGAACAGAGATCGTTTGACTTCCTCTTTTCCAATTTGGATGCCCTTTATTTCTTTCTCTTGCCTGACTGCTCTGGCTAAGACTTCTAGTAATATGTTGAATAGAAGTGGTGAAAGTGGGCATCTTTGTCTTGTTCCACTTCTCAGGGAGATTGCTTTCAGCTTCTCTCTGTTCAATATGATTGTGGCTGTGGGTTTGTCATATATGGCTTTTATTATTTTGAGATATGTTCTTTCTATGCCTAGTTTGTT